AAGGTCCTCCCAAAGCAGGGAGGCTTGGAGGAGGAGCTTCAGGTGACGGGCCCCTCCCCTAGGGGAGGTCCAGCACTGCTTCCCTCCCAGCCCCAGCCCCTGCCTCCCGCATCCTGTGATGGTGGCTTAATACTGGAAAACGACTTAGCAGTCGCAGTTGCCTGAAAACTTAACAGCCACTAAGCATACGACCCAAGTTCCAACCAAGTTAATTTACTCTGGGCTGTTACTAGAAATGGGGAGGCAGGAGGAAAAGTGCATAAGAATGTTGACTTTGAGTCACCCATCATGTGACCTTAAATAAGACACTTAATCACTTTGAACCTTAGTTTCTGCATATGTAATAAATATATACCTCACAGGGTTATTATGAACATTATATAATAAATATGATGTATATAGCACTGTGCCTGTTCCACTGGAAGTGCTTGATGATTAGTAGCTGTTATTATTTCATGAAGTATTTCCAGGACCCAAAAAACCATGCTGCTCCTCAACATTGTTGCTGAACCCACACAGGGATGGTCGATAGTTTTAAGATTCACTAATAGAGTATGTCCAGGAAGGAGACTGGAGGGTTATGACTTGAAAACATATCACGTGAGAAGTATTAATAGATGCAGGGGCCAGGAGTGTGACAAGAGCAGATGTCACTTATCTGACCCTCTGAACCCGGTTTGGGTGTCCACGATATGTTCTCTGGTAGCTCCCAGCGTGTCCCTTTGATAACCTTATCACCTTTCGTAGTAACTAAGATTTAGTGCCCGTGCTTGCAAATTCCTGGGGACAGGCACTGTGTCTGTCTTGCCCACTGCTACATCCCTAAGAATAAGTTTTCAGTGAACACGTGCTGAATGAATGGAGTGGCATGGAGCGGGTGGCTGGAAGGAATGCCGAGAATAGTGGGGGTTTTCAGTCCCTTCTGGGCTTCATGGTCCTGAATCAGGGTCCCTGTTCCCATTACTCACCAACTGTTTCTGGAATTCCCTGACAGGTGAGCAGAGTCAGGGACACAATGTGTTGAAAAGGCATTGGGCAATGGCTCTGGGCCCTCCCTTAACTAAGTTTCCTCCTCAAGAATTTATTTTATTTTATTTACAATAGATTGGGGGGGTACAAGTTGACTTCCATTACATGTGCATATATTATAGTGATGAAGTCTGGGCTTTTAAGCGTACCCATCACCCAGATAGTGTACAAAATTCTCAAAAGTTTCTGAGAAGCCGATACTCAGACATCCTGGGACGAGGGATTGGGCAGGGGGCCCAGAGTGTCGGGAGGCAGCTCAGTACAATTCAACAAGCATTTTTGACACCTGCCATGTGCCAGGCGTCATACTAGATGTTGTTCTACATGCAATTCCTCTCTCTTTTAAATAAATGCTTATTTTTATTAAAGTAAGGCATGCAGAAGGTTTAAAAGCCAAACTCATAAGCAAGGCAGGGGTCCCTACACCACCATCCCCCCCAAATCCACCCTGCTTCTCGCAGGCAACACTTTTGGCCCTCTTGGCTTTTCGCACTGTTTGCCTCCAGATTTCTAGATGGTTGTGTGAATTCCACTATCTCTGGAATCATCCATTTTAGATACAACCTTCTGACTTCCTGCTATGATAAACGACGATTTGAACTCTGTTCACACCCTTCTCCCCACCTCCATCCTCCCATTACAGTTATATCACCATTTTTGGTAAAATCCATATTTGAGCTTTTTATTATTATGACCACGTAAATATTCACTGCGGAGTTAATAACAATTGTTTCATTTTTTATTTGAATTTATAGTCAAACCTTCCCACCCCCACCAACCGCTATAAAACAACTCTCGATACAATTCTCCATAGAGTCAACACTATCAGAATAATCAATCCTTATCTTTCTCTCCATGCCCTCCCAGACGCCCCTCTTGTCCCCCTCCCCTCCCCCGCTGACACGCCCCTCCTCTTCCAGACGTTGCCACCTTCCTACTTGCATCTAGACTGGTGGTGGTGGCTCTCCAAGGCTCTGATTCTTCATGGCTCTTGGGCTAAGATCTTTTTTTCTCATCACCTGGGGAATCTCCTTAGCCTCCCTCCCACACTGAATTCCTATTTCCTGGGTTCCATGGCTTCTTTCATTGGTTTACCCTCTTGTCTTAGTGGAGTACACCCTCCCTTAACTTTCTGAGAAATGGGCAAGGGGGTAAATTGAGGCTCTGCATATCTGAAAACACCTTCATTCTACCTGCGTAGATAAGAGACTGGGTTTAGGATTCTAGGTTGAAAATCATTTCCACTCAAAGTTCTGACAACTTTGTCCCAGGATCTTCTGGATGCTGATGTCACTGTTGAGAAATCTGATGGCATTCTGGTTCTTGAACATCTGCATGTGAGCAGGTGTTTTGAAAATGTTGGAATCTTGTCTTTATCCCTGCTATTCTGAAATTTCATAAGGATATGCTTGACGGAGGTCTTCTTTATTCATTTTGCCAAGCACTGGCTTGGACTATTCAAACTGGGAAATTTTCTTATATTTTTTTCATTAGTATTTTCCCTCCCCTTTATTTTCACTCTGCTGCCTAGAACTCCTGCTAGCCTGATACTGGGTCTCCTGGACCGATCTGCTCATTTTCTTGTCTTTTATCTCCTATAATCCATTTCTGTGTCTTTTTTTATGCTTCATGAGAGCTTTCTGATGTTGACTTCCAACTCTTTCCCTGAAAAAATTAAATCAGCTATCACTGTTTTAATTGCCAAAAACACTTTCTTGTCCTGACGTTTTAAAATGAGTGTTTGGCATATGGTAATTATTTTTTAAATGTTTTATCCTTTCCCTTAGACTATTATGGTCTGTCTCTCTTTCCTTAGTTCCCTTTTACCTTAGTTTTGATCTGTTTATTTCTTGTTGGAGATTATCCATTCCTATTAAGAGGCCCTAAAAAGTTGATTGGAAACTCTTTGTAAAAGGGCATTAATAGCAGGGTAATTGTCACTGGCACTTCTGAATGCCTTAGGGCAATTCGGTTTCAACAGAGGACTTTCCAAACCCCAGAGCCTCTTGGTTAAAGCATAGGTAGCTTTGGGGTCTTCATGGTCCTTACGCATAGTATCTAAGTTTCCCCTGAGAAAATGCCTCTTGTCTTCTATAGAATTGTCCATGAGCCTTGGCTGTGTGGGGCTAGGATAGGAGCTACTTCTCACATCAACCCCTTGCTTTCATTTCTCGCCAGCCCTACCTTCCATGATGTCCTGCGTCTGCACCCCCAGTTCCCAGGTTCTTCCGGGCTCTGCAGGGAAAATGGCTTGCTTCCTGTTGCTGTCTTCTTTGGCAGGCATTTCAACATGGGCTTCCCCTGTTCTGCTAAGACATGTACTGCTCCTCCACCCCTATTCTGCCTTTGTATGTGGGATGGGATTGCCAACTTCTCCTATTTTCATTGAGGATGGAGTTCGTATAGGCTTTTTTGTTCCCCTTGTTATTTGGGGATAAGTGTCAAGAGAAGAGTGGCAGAAACATCTTCACTCCATCATCTTAAAACCACAAATCTACGTTAAGTAGACAGCAAGTCTATATTAAGTCTATATTAGCTTTTAATCGTTACAACTCTTGTCATTAATAAAACTCAGGTTCAGAGAGGTCAAGTTCTCCACCCAGGGTCAAAGTTGGAAAGTGGCTATGAAAGCAGATCTGGCCAAAGGAAAACACCCGCACTCTTTCTCTCACTCCTCTGCCTCCCAACAGGCTGTGATCAAGGGAGGGAGCGTAGCAAAGCATAGTCCATCTTGGATAAACATCTGGAAGTACAACCGAGGAAGCCCTTCAGGGCAGACTATTAGCCAAGAAGAAACAAGAGATACTGGAAATAGGGTCCAGCATTGGGGAAAGGGGCTGAAGGACTCACTGGGAATCCCAGACTCAGACCACAGAGAAAGGGAGAAGGTAGAAGTCCTAAGGGAATTTGGGAGAGAAATGTTTCCAGAGACCCAGAAAGAAAGGCCAGTGAGGCCAATGGTGTCACACTACGAGGGCAAGAGAAAAGCTCTTGTGGGCACTGGGCTTAAGCCCATCCCGAGACATTAGTGATTTCCTGACCCCCAACCCTCACTGCTGTCAGGATTAGGGCCTGATGTTCCCCAGACTGGCTCCCACTGGCCTCAGCCAGGGTGGGGTTTGGCTTCCAGGTGACCAGCAGGGTTGGTGGTAGAGCAGGTTAAACTGACAACGTTAGTCCATCCTGTATGTACACAGCTCACTTTTTAGACTGAAGAGTATGCCCTTACATTAATCCCCATTTGCTTTCGTCTTGTTAGAATTTGCCAAAGGATGGCGCATGGGTTTCATTCACAGACCACTCTGGTCAGTGCTGGCTGCCTGCAGCACCCCAGGGAGAACGATTCTGTGGCTCTGTCCAGGCCCAGGGGAGCGGAATGCCACAGTTGATTAGTGATGCCTGGCGTGGGACTGGAACATGTGCTGTCACCAGTTCAGGCCATCTCCTCTTCCCAGATTTGTGTTCTGCATAAATGAGATTAGGATGCGCTCAACGCCCTTATTCAAGTCCTTGATAAAAGCTGAACGACATAGATGCAAGGACACCACCATTAGGGGCAGTTTGGGGATTGACTTACTTCCGGCTGATGTACAAGAGACTGTCACATTTAGTATTAGTTTTGAAATTGTTTTCCAGGCCACATTTTCCCATCCTATGTCCAGAAGGGACTTTTTCTGTAAACCCTCCACCTGGGACAGGACAAAGGAGGGTGCATTCCTTTTAAGATGTCCCTTCCTGAGATGCATAAAGTAGGATGTTGAGAAGCGAGTGGGTCACAGGAGAGAAGAGATAAGCTCTGTCGCTGACGAGCCCTGGAAACCCGAGTTTAGACAGCAGTGCTGCGAGGACTCCAACGGAGGTTCTCTTTCCACGTCTTAAGTAAATGCTGCGTCCCGTGGCGGGGGGGGGGGGGGGGCGAGCAGCGAAGATTGCACAGAATGTTACAAAAATAAACAAATAAACAGGCACACTCTGTTTCAAGCAGCTCATACTTTTATCACAAAATACAAACTTTCTACATTTAAGTGTCTTACTTCTATTTTACCAACAACAACAAAAACAAAAATCACTCGTGTAGCTAAATACAGGTGCGTGTGTGGACGAGCAGAGCGAGCGTGGATACGCGGGGGGTGTCTGTGCTGTGCGTGTAAGTGCTGGTCGGTCGATGGGTCTGGTCTTGCTGTTTTCTGTCGGCCTGGTCAGAACCTTGGCTTTCCAAACTTCATACCAAGCGGTTGCAGAATCCAGAATCCCAGAGCCCTTAGCCTTGACCCGAGGGCTAAGGGAGGAGGGGGGAGACGGGAAGGAGATCTAAAAATTTATGCCGTTCCCACTGGAAGAAAAATAGGGGCTGTTCATCACAGGCCCACCAGACGTCGAGCCAAACCTGCAAGAGAGGGAGGGAGGGCGCCATGATGAGCTTCCCGATGTTATGGGGGAGATTAGAAAAAAATAAGGTATTAATTTTGTGGCTGTCAAAGACTGCGAAGACCATGACAGGCTTGGAGGCTAAAAGCTTTAGCATAATAAGAAGTCTTTGGCTCTGGGAAAATGAAATATTAAAATGATACAATTGGAGGACAATAAAGAGCTGCTTCTGCCACTTACTTACTTAGATCAGAAGGCCCCTGGGAGCCTGTGAAGATTACTTTTATGGAGACTTTCGCCATGCCAGGGACCTCGGGGAGGGAACCTCTCTGCGTCTGAGCATCTCACCTGTGTGCCCGTGACCACGCATCTTCCTCCGGGAAGTCCCCACACCCTCAGAGAACCCAGGGGCCGTTCCCAGCATTTGATCTTAGAGCCCGGCCAACCCCGGGCTCTTCCTCCCCTTACCAGAACCAAGCTAAAATCGGGCCCTTCACTTCAACACCTCCGTCAGGGAAGCCTGGACACATCACTGAGTGCCTGGGGCTTTGCTAGACTCCCAGGAAAGGAAGAGCTGAGAAAACACGAGCCTCACCCTCTGAGAGCAGAAAGACACACACCTCTCCTGTTCCTCCCTGGCACACCCTTCTAGTCACACTGGAAAATAGAGTTCAGAAGCCGTCTCCTCTGTGAAGCCTTCCCTGACCTCCCCAGATGGAGTCATTTACCCACACGTCTGGGATCCTACTGCAATTCCTTCACCCATCTGCTAGGACGTGTGAATGAATGGGAGCAGCGCTCTGCATAATTGCAGCAGAGCAAATGGCCAGCTTTAGTCTAATCCGGGGATTCTCAATCACTTTGCAGCCAGGCAGATGCATATTACAGAAGGGATTCACGTTCATGGCACCTTCCCATGAATGAATGGAACAGAAAGAAGGGGCAGGCAGGGGAGGGAAGAAGCAATGGGGACAGACCACTGCACTAATTTGTAAAGCCTCAGCTGGTGACAGTATCTGTTGCTCACTGTGAGCGACTATCAACAAGCTGGGCTTGGGGTATGTGTCATTCCCTCATCAAGTTCCACGAGAGCAGGGACACTACACGGACTATTCATCATTTTACCCCCAGCTCCCAGCCCAGCACCTGGCATGAGGTAGGTGCTTAATAAGCAACTAATGCCAGCGGTAGCCTAACCTCTTTTACTCTCTTTCAAAAATTATGTTGGAAGATAAATGATTGAAAGTGATGTCATCATAGGGATAATAGAATAAAGGCCATAACCCATACTTCAGTATTTAACAATTATCAGGAGCAGATTACTCATGACACACCTCACATCTGATTGCCACACATGCATTTAGCTCTTCCAGGTTCTGATTGGATCAACTGCCAAGGGCATGGTCTGGACAGGACATATACTAGAGGGCAGGGAAAGGGCGGGGAAAGGCGTGATCTGCGTGGGCTGGAGTTATCAAGGAAGGCTTCCTGGAGGGGGAGGAGCTTGAGCTGCCTCTTGGGAATTGTGAACACATATCCCAGTTTGCCTGGGCCAGCCTCTACGCTGGTGCTTCTGGTATAATTATGTTTTGTGCTCCTTTTAACTCTCAAATTTATTATTGCTTGGGAGATAAATCGTATGGTTATCCCACCCTGCTGAAAGTACGCAAGTTGACTTGGGAGGGCAGGGAGGGCTCTCCTCCTCCTTCCCCGAGGACTTGGAAGCCACTTGCTCTTTCCTTCCTCTCCCATCACTTAGTTTAGTCTCCCGATTCCTCCTTGTCTACTGACCCTCCTTGTTTCCCAGACTAAACTCTCCGCTGAGGCCCACGTGCCCTCCCCTGGCCCGTGCAGCCCCAGCTCCATCTGGCAGCATCCAGCACCCGGGTAAGCCGCCGCCACCGCCACCGCTGCTGTGCTCAGTGCTCTCTGCGTGCCACGCCCTGCCCTGCCGGCCCTCTCGTCATCACTCCGTGATCCCTCCCTCTCGCTCCAGGAGGCGCCTTCCTCACCTGGCTCCCTGCACTCCACACTCTCTCATCTTCCCTCCCACCTTGAGAGAGGCTCCTTTAGAGCCCTGCTGGTTCCTCCACGTCTTCCCAGCCTTTCTACATGCTGGTGCCCCGAGACGTACACACCGTCCATGGGGTCTCCTCCCACCCCATCCCATCCATGCCTTCGAATACCATCCTGTGCTAATGGCTCCCAAATTGATAACCAGCCCCAACTCTTCCCCCCCTGGGCTCCAGACTCCCGCAGCCACCTGCCTGTCAGTGGCTCCACTCATCTGCATAGCAAGAACCTCAAATTTCACGTGACCAAGACTGAACTCGTCATAAACAGATCCACCTTGACCTTGGTATTTAGGCACTGCCATTCCTCCAGTTGCTCAGGTCAAAAACCAAGGAATCGTGCTTGACTCTTCCTTTCCTCATTCCACATCCAGCCACCATCAAGTTCCATCAATTCTCCCAGAGAAACTAACATCCCAGATCTTTTCGCCCATCTCCCCATGGTCACTGCCCTTGTCTGTGCCACCCGCACCCCTTGCTCGGTCAACTGTACCTCCTGCCATCAGCTCTTCTTTCATGGTGGTTCCTCAGACACTGGCCAACATGGTCTGTCTGACACAGAAAACTAGAACTTGTCCTCGCAGGTTTAAAAGGCTTCCACTGCCCCTTACCATGCCCACCTGGTATGACCCTGGGGCGGTCTGACCCTGGCCACCTCTCTGATTGCAATTCCACCTGCTCTTTCCCGCTCACTGTGCTCCAGCCATGTGCTCCCCCCGCAGAGCCGAGGTGCTTTCCATCTCTCTGCCTTGAGTGCTGACCCTCACACACGCACGGCTCATCCTCTCATTCCATTCGGGTCTTGGCCCAGACGTCCCTTGATCCTCTCTCCTCTTACCCCTAGCACCTGGCCACGCCCACTTGCTTATCTCCTGTTGCCTATTTCTCCCCTAGAATGAAAGCTCCTTGACAGAAGGAAAAACTTTGTCTTCTTCTCTCCAGCATCCCCAGTGCCTGCCCCAGTGCCAGGGGGTCAAAGGTGCTCAGTCAATATTGTTCGAGTGAACAGATCGTGCCCCTTGCATCACTCTTCTGACCTCACTGCCTGGTCTTCCCAATCCACCCTGTCACTACCACTTGTCCTCGGCACTCTCCTCTCTGCCTCCACTACCTCCTGCTGCTCTCCCCAGACTGTCTCCCCTTCCCCAACTGTGCCTTCTTCAGTCTCCAGCCCACTCCCCCTGCACCCCCCACCCCACTACCCCTCTGCAGACCTATGAGCTTGGGACCACCCTTCCTCTGGGACAGCCAGTTCTAGCTTCTGCAGCACACCTGTCTTCCCATGAGCTCGGAGTCGCAGCACGGAACGCAGGCAACGTGCCGGCCTCAGGTGGTGTGTCTGGATCCCTGATCTCACATCCTGACTACATCCTCTCTTTCCTTCCGTTTCTCTCCCCTCCAGCCCGTCAACTCACCCTGATATGCACAAATCTGCATTAGACTCCCAGGCCTAGCAGCCCAAAGCCTTTCCTAATCCAATCCCCATCTCCCTATTCCAATCCTATTTTCCACCCTTTTCGGGGACAAATCTATTTAATAATACTTCAGCCAGATGCCTTCTCTCCCCAGGCCTCCAGCCCGCTGTGCGTCTCCCGTCTGGGGGCCTTGCCCCTCGTGCCTGGAACGCCTCCTCCCACGGCTGCTGGCTGGGGCCTCCACACTGCCGGGACTCCCCCTCGGTCCTCAGGGCCACTCGGATAGTCTTGGCTTTGCCAGGGCCCCGCCATTGCTGTGCCCACATCCCATCTGCCCTCAGCTTCCCGAAGGGAGGCAGCTCGGCCTGTTCACCCACACGTCCCCCCGCAGGCTAGCCTCATGCGCGCTATGTGAATCAACAGGGCACCCCCGGTCTGTGTTGGGTGCCCACACCACGCCATGCTCTACCAGAAAAAGGAAGAAAGAGGGAGGGAGGGGGGAGGGGGGAGAGGAAAAAAAGAAAGATAAAAAGGGTGTGGATTTCACGCTCAAATAACACTATCGACCGCCTTCTTGAACATTCTCCATACACCCTAGGAAATTAAATGATCGGAGAATTCCAACAGTTAAGAAATCTGTTTATCTTTGTTTCTCACAGCTTTTCCCAAATGGATCTGACTACGGAAGCCACTTTCTAGCATTTATCCCTTTTAACAAGATATTTGGGGAAAACACTGATTGAAAGGATGGGAGTTTGGGGACCCGGGGCTGGCACTGCAGTGAAGGTTCTGTGACAGGGAGGTGGGCGGGTGGGAATCATTGTCAGATTGAGGAGTTTGGCCCTAATCCTATAAACTGGGTTTCTCAAATTGGGGCCGCCAGTCCCCAGGGCGTGCCTGGGAGGCTGGGACTCACAGGGATGACACGGGCCACCACCTGGGCCACCGCCTGCCGCCTGGAGCACCAACACTGGCTGAAGGTTCGGCAGGTGGGGATGAGCGGTTACGTATTGTTATGTTAAAACAAACACAAATTTATCACTCAACAGCGTGCAAAATGTGAGTGCAATTTCAGCTCAAATGTGGAGATTGTGTTGGCTGTTTGCTGCTAAGCCCTCAGACCACCCAGGACATAGAGGCCCTCACCTCTGAAAGTTGGGGTGCTTGGTGGAAAGGTGTGAGCAGTGGACAGCCCATCAGCAGGGCCTGTCCCCGAGTGAATGGGAGGTTTGGGAGATTACCCTGGCAAGGCGCTGGGGGTGCTGCAGCTGGTGGGGAGCTCTCAGAAGATTTCCTGGCTTGTCTTGCTATACACCATGCTCACAGGTAAAGGCAAGTGGGTCGTGCTCTACCACCTGCCCCGCCAATGGAGTGGGGTGTCCGCCTGCTACTTACCGTGCAGTTGCATTTCTACAACCAGACTGGAAGCATGGAGCCCCCAAATTGACCTACAAAAGGGGGCCCCAACCCTGCTGACCTCCCACCAGGTCCCTGCAGGACCCACACAGCCACTGGCCGCAGGTATAAAGCCCATCCCTCCCCACAGCCACGGCACACATGTCCCGAGAAAGCACAAGGAAGCCCACCCCGCTCCCCCCGCTTGCCTCCCCCTCTAGCAGCTGTCTGGGTACTGTGGGGCTTCCAGTGTGGGCTGGGAACTCACCCATAGGCTGGCGGGAAGAGGTACTGCGGCCCGTCCCCTGCCATGGGGGAAGGGTCCCGGGGATTGGCAGACATCTTCGGGGGTGTCCTCTGAGGGTACGGATAGTTGGGCTGGACGAAGGGGATGTAGCTCAGCAGTGGGGTGTAAGAAGAGCGGAAAATCTGCTGTCCCATCTGCTGTGGGTTGTATGGCGTCACCTGCAGGTCAGAGAGGAGACAGGGGCAAGGTCACCATTCCTTAGCCCTAAACTTGACCCCAGCTGCCACTTGTGCCCCTCAGTCACTGTGATGTACATAAAGGCAACATGTTGGAACAGCAAAAGCACAGGGCTCAGCTTCTGTAGTGAACCTGGCAACTGATCCTCAGTTTCCTCATCCGTAAAATGGGCAGACACTGTATACATTGTGTGGAGAGGGAGTCAGTCCTTATAAGTAAGGAGACAGGCACATAATAAATAGCAAATAAATATTGTTTTTGTTCTCTTTCCTGTTTCCCTGGCTTCCCCTCTGTCAATAACCATCCCCAGGCCCCTTGTTCATTCTCAAGGATTTTATTACTACAAAAAAGCTGTTGTGATCAACATGGCTCCCGCTTTTATATCAGGATCTCAACAGATTCCCAGTGCAAGACAGCCCTTCCCAGTGGAAACTCCTGTGACAGCAGCAACGTCCTAGCTCTGCAGAGCTCGGTGTGGCAGCCACCAGCCCCACGTGGCGATTGAGCACTTGCAATGTGGACAGTGTGAATAAGGAACTGAATTTTGAGTTTTACTTCATTGTAATTAATTTAAATTTAAGTAGCCACAGATGACAGTGGGAGTCTAGGAGGAAGGGCAAAAGCTCAAACCCGAAGGAAATGCAGGAATTCAGTGGGGTCTCCAAGCCCACCGGGAACAAACTCCCGCCAAGAACTGGGGCTCCCTCTGTCTTGCCCCTGACAAGGCAGGGACCTCATCTGCCTCGTTTACCGATCTCTCCCCAGACCTGAGACAGGGCCTGGCACACAGCGGCTGCTCCGTGGAAATACACTAAATGAACGAAGGCAAGAGAGAGAGAAAGAGGGGAGGGAAGGGGGCAGGAGGGAAGGAAGGCAGGAGAGGGGAAAGAAGAGACCACTGAGTGTCTACTGGAACAGCTAAAACTGTGGGGCGTTGGTTACAACATGAGCGCTGTGTCCCACTGCTGACAGCTCCGACTGTCACCGTGGTGACACAAAGCCCTCTCCCACAGGGCGCTGACATCTCCCCTCTGGTGTGCTGAGGGGCATTTCAGTCAACCCTGGGGAAGCTTCTGGATTTCCACTTTGATAGCAAGAGTCTAGAGTCCAAGAGCTCAGGAGCTGGCACCTTGTCAGCCCTGGCTCACCTGCAAGCCTTTATCTAATAAAAAGCCCACGCAGGCGAGCACTTACTGAGTGCATGGGGTGTACCACCAGGCCTTTCTCGTGGATTCTCTCATTAAAACTCCATAAAGCCCTGCGAGGTGGGATCATTATTATACCCATTTTGGAGATGAGGAATCTGGCGTTCAGAGAAGTCAGGCGACTTGCTAACGTCTGCGGCGAATGGGCTGTGCTCAGGACCCCAGCAGAGTGAGCCGGAGCCTTCCCCGGGGCCAGCATCTCCCTGCTGTGACCCCTCTGGAAGCCGGAGCCCTCCCTCCCGGGCCTTCTGTGGTTCCCCCCGGGGAGATGGAGGACCTAGTGATGCTGGATGCGGGCCCCAGACCCCAGGATGATGAGCTCAAGGTCAGAACATGCCAAGAGCTCACAGAGAGGGCCTGGGAGGCGCCTTTCCAGGACAGAGCCCTGTGGCTCAGCGTGGCAGAAAATGCCCCTGGTCTTCAGGGTGGTGAGGAACTGGAATAGAAGAGGCAGGTCCTAGAACTCATACAGCCTTGTTCAAAAATGTGCCCCTGATTCCACGTAACTGATAAAAACCATAAAATACAGCTTTGTATCCTGCTCCGGAGCCATCCCCAAATATACTCCTCACTGACAAAAGCAATAGGAGGGTGTGCCCAGAATGCCCCATTTGTACAAAAATGTTTATATAAATAGACATCACTGGAAGGGTATTGTAAGAAACCAGTACACAGCGATTGCCTCTAAGCTTTTAAATTTTTTACCATGTTTTCATATTATTTTATTCAAATATATGCACACACACATGCATATGCATGTAATTATATAAAAAGATCCTCTTTGGAGCCAGCCGATGCTGTCACTGCAGGGGGTGGAGGGGACGTGGCTGAGGCCTTGTGACCCGGACTGCGGCTCATCCCAACTTCAGCTCAGGATGCAAAGAGCCCCTGCTACTGAAAAAGCAGTCCTCGCCTGGGTGACAAAGTAGCCCACACCCAGGGCCCTTCCCTACCCTCTGGAACGTTCTAACACCCTTCAGGTCAGAGGTGCAGTAGTTTGCAGGGAAAGGGTGGAGCTCCCTGGGGAGAGAGAAGTGTGGGGGTGTCTGTCTGCCTGCGGGGGGTGCAAGGCCAGTCTGGTGGGGTGGCAGGTTGGTCTTCGGTACCCTCTACGCCCCCATTCTAAGTTCCTTTCCTCACACCCCATCCCCACCCCAAGACTCAGTGTCTGTCACCTGTTCCTGCATGTCCTGCAGCGTGGTAGCATGTGTACAACTGTCCCTGTGTTTCTGTCTGCCTGTGTGTGTATTCTGTATTTTGATGCTGCAGTTTTGTGTATCTGTGTACAAGATCCAATAAAGCCTGGTGACTGGAGCGCCGGACTGCCCAAGGTCAAACCCCAATGCTGCCGTTCTGCCACTGTCCCGCAGACGTTGGTCCCGCAGACGTTGGTCCCGCCTACCCATGGAAGTAGCGTTGCCAGATTTAGCAAATAAAAATACAGGACACTCAGTTCAACTTTGAATTTTGAAAAGTAAGTTTTTTAACGCAAGAATATCCCATGCAGTATTTGGGATATACTTACACTAGAATATGTTTTCCTTATTTATCTGAAATTCAGATGGAACTGGGTGTCCTGTATTTTACTGGCAACCCTATATGGGAACAATAGGACTCCCCAGCCCCCCTGATGCTGCGCAAAGCCCTGTGATTTGCTTTGGCCGATGGGAGGTGGGTGGAAGTTCTGAGCTGAGGCTTTGTGTGACTCTGTTTGCCCTCTGGTGCCCCTGCCACCCGCCGTGGGAAGAATGACAGTCTACTGCATCTTCAGCGCAGACCCAGAAGGAGAGATGTGCTGAACATACCTGAGCCTGACCCACAGCCCAGCTCAGCCCACCTCTAGACCCAGAGTGGGAAAATAAACATGCTATGTCCCCGAGGCTATTTGCTGCCACTTGCATGTTAACTTTATAACCCTGGTCAAGTTACTTAATCTCCCTGTACTTAGTTTCCCTATTTATAACCTACCTGCCAGGGAGGTTGCAAAGATTAAATTAGTTAACGTAGGAAGGGCTCTGTTAACTGCCAGCTGTTACCACGTTGTGTTTTCTGCGAGCGGATTGGGATGCGTGTCTGCACCCTGGAGCCAAGAGTGGACCGGAAAGTATGGGGTGGGGGGGTGGGGGCCAGCTGGACAAAGACCAGGGAGCAGCTGCCCCCTTTGCTGCTCCCAAAGGCCTTCGTGGAGCCGGGACAGAGGAGGGGGGTCGTCTACTCACCTGCCGGGAGTAGCACCCCATCGGGGGGTGCACGGGCTGCTGATAGGGCATCCTTGCTGCTGCCCGTGGCGGGTACACGCCCTGGGGAGAAAGGGAGAGGCTCAGTGCCGCCAGGCAAGGGGCTTCCTGCGGAGAGCAGCAGGCACTCAGCTCAGCCGGCAGACAGGGCTGAGTCCGTCCCCTCGCACTGCTGGCCAGACCCGTGGCTGCCTGAGGCCGCTGGGATCAAACAGGACAACACAATCAGGCCATTCGGGAAGCCTCGTTAGCAGACTTCACAGCCCGAGGGAGTGTGTAAGGGAAGAGCTTCAGGAGTCTGGCTGCCTCTTGAATCCCAGGTCTGCAGCTCAATGGCTCTGTGACTCTGGGCAAGTCTCTTCACCTCTCTGAGCTTCTTTGCTCTTGTCTATAAAATGATGTGTGTTCAGGACTGCAACGCCTGTGAAGGTGGCCACGTTATCTTTGTGGCTGTCTACGCACCTTTTCGAAATGCCTGTCCCCAAACTCCATTTCTGCCCTAAGACACAGGATGTGTCCATGTACACCTGCATGTGTATGTGTGTTTGCATCCGTGTTTATTTGAGTACATGTGCATGGGTGTTAGCATCTGTGCCTATGCAGCTGTGTGTTGCTACACACAAATATAAGGCCAGGTGTATAGTTCAGGTTTCTGTTGCTGTGTGTCTACACAGCCATGCATATGCCTGTGTTTATAGCTTATGGTGAGGGTTAGTGTGAGGATAAATGAGTCAATGCGTCTAAAGACCTTAGAATAGTGCCCAGTACATAGTACGTGTTGGGTGTGTTGGGGTGGCCTTGGGGTGTCCATGTGTCCACACATAGACACACATACGCTCGTGCACACACACACACACACGCAGTACTGCTGCTGTGGAAGGGGTCACGGGCTGACCCCTCCAGTCTCAGACTCTGTGTCTACCTGCCCATCCAGAGTCACCCCTTAGCATGTGGCACCACCCAGCCCAGGACATCTTCTCAGAGGATTCCACACCCGAGATGCTGCCTCCATTCTCGGCTCAGCTTGTGCCAACGATAAACGTGTTGATGGCCGGCACTGTACCCTTGAGGATTTCCTCACGGCCTATGGAATCCCTGAGATGGAGTCTGCGGGCAAGTCTCCCAGCTCTCTAGGTCCCGAAGAGCGCACATCCTCTCAGAGCCCCCCCTTGCTTTCTGCTCCCGTGCATGGGATACCCCCACTTCCACCAAAGCGTCGCCTGCTCCCTCTACTCCAAGCCCTGCAATCCGGATGGCCCCTCTCTGTTACTGGTCCCTACAGGCCCAGGCTTGGCTTGAACCTGGATGGGGAAGTCAGACTGATGAGGTTGCCTTGCCTGTTCCCAGCCCTGAGTGTCTCCACGGCCACTGGGCAGGTTGCTAAGCGCCCCTCTTCCGTCTCACCTCCTCTCAACCCCATTAGCACTCTGCCTTCCACAGCCGACCTCCCCGGGCCAAAGAACTGTGGGCCCTATCACCCCCATATCTGCCTGTGCCAGGCAGCCCGGGGGTCTGTGGGAGACAAACAGCTGCCCAGGC